AAATAAACCTTCGTGAAATCACCTGATTTCATAATGTTACTACTTTCTCTTCAGATTTACTCACAGCATCACAAAAACACTGGAGTGAACACAAACAGGCGGCTATTGAACCTTTTATGGATGCAGATGTTGTAAAATTTATAACAGCACTATTCACATATACAAGAGTACATGTAAAACGATATGTTTAAATCAAATATTTATCACACAGCGAGCTATTTGTGGGAACCAGGGAGGAAAAAACAGAGAATCCAAGATGTTGCAACTAGTGATGCAAATAAATAGCACTGCAACAGGTCGTTTAATGGGTGTAAATGTATTTGAGGAGGGGGGGATTGAACAGTTAGCAAACCATGAGATGACAGATGATGCATCCTAGTATGCTGCTGGGACAGGCCGAGCCATGTTGACATAAAACCCAATACTTCCTTACAGAGGAACGGGGCCAGCTTTAGCTAGCTCCTTGCCGAGCACTAAAAATCCCAGCAAGCTGAAGCAACATTATCTGGCTTAGTGTTTCTAACATTAGATTTGTCTCTCTGTAGAGGTCTTCTTTTATTTACCCAAGAGCAGTGGCTAAAGACACATTTTTATCCTTTTTAGGGAGAATCACAAAAAAAAAGAAGAAGAAGAAAGTAGCTGAAAGTTAGAAAGTTTTCCACAAAGGAACGTACACCCACACATCAGAGTTGCTTCTGAAACACTTGTGCAGGACTGAGGACAATGTTTAATTAACTGCAAAACTATGTGGCTCGGTTGACAACACAAAGTACATCCTAGTTTTTTTTCTTTTCTTCTCTTTGTTTTTGTGCGTATGAGTGTTCACAAAGTGCCAGGCCACGCGGGAGTGTCCTAGAGTGAGTAAAACATACACACATATATACACACACACACACACACACACACACACACACACACACACACACACACACACACACACACACACACACACAATCGGTGAGCTAACACAGAAACCCAGCCGTCAGCACCTATCCGGCGCACACACACACACACCGCTGCAGCGTCCCAAACACAGCTAATTAAAAAACAACAATTTCACAGGAGGGCACTCCAAACAGTTCTAAAAAGCAGCTCTCAGCACACCGGGGGATCGTCCAGCGTACATGGGAGGTGAGACAGGTTCTGGGAGCTCTGCTTTTATGGCCCCATCACTGCTCTGTTTTTCTACTACTCACACTGCCGTGACCTGAATTTCATTTCGCTTATAGCACGTGAATTTGGAAATTTGGAAAAATCTGCATGCTGGAGTGTTTGGAGGAGTTACAAATGAAACATCCTAAAATAACATTTTGCTGAACAGTAAAACTTTATAGGGCATGGAGAGAAAAAAAAAAATCCACTGTGGATGGAAGTTTTTTTTTATTATTTTTTTTTTTATGCATCAGCAGGACCTAAAAGTAGACAGCATGGTGTATAATATAGTTAGTTAATGTTATGTTTTGTAGATGGAGCCCATGGCAGTTTCTAACAAGGCAGTCCATTACAGGGGTGTTGTCCAACACTTCAGTCAAGTGATAGGCCTTATTACATGGCTGCTTTCAAAGCATCTGCTTGGTTAGAGGAAAGGTCCCTCTGGGGAAAAGATCTCCCACTTTCTAATGATGTATAATTGACCTCCAAACACCAGGGCACAACAAACTCTCTCGGGGTGGTGTAATTCCACTCTACCTTTTACATACCACCCGTCTCGTTCAAGCTTGTTCCTCCTCTACGGCTACGGCTCCCGTCCAACTGACAGCTCTGCCTATTTACCCTCATTTTTTTTTTTTTTTTTTTTTTTTTTTTTTTTTAAACCTGCTCTGAAAATTATCCCACAAAATAAAAAAAAAAGATGCGCCACATTGCCGTATTTCTCCTCTTTTAAAATACATTTAATTCTATTCTCCCCTCTGTAAAATACATCATCGATGACATGTCTACGCCTGAGATTTTTTTTGGCTGTCAAAAATATTCCTCCTTCACAAAAAATAACACATTTCATATCAAAACAGGGATGATAAACACAAGTCAGCTGCATGACATAAAAAGAGGCAAACATGTGGGATAAAGGCAAATACAATCCAATCTTGTTACTATATAATTGCACTATATGGAGCAAGATGTGTTGAACCGTGTGGGAGTTTTAATAACACAGTACACAATTGTTTTCCCCTGTCTGCACTTAAACCTGTTCCAAAGGTGTGAAAAAAGACTGCTTGCCAATTCCTTGATTTATTATGGCTAGTGAGAGCTGATTACGGGGCATGAATCAGTTGCTGTAGGAATGTAATTAGGCACATAGACCTCTGTAAGGCTAAGGGCTCTCTTCACAGCCCAAAGCAGTTTGTGGGCTGACAAATGCATCTTAAATGGGTGTCATAAAAGTCAAAAAGGTGCCAATTACATCTTTAAGTATCCCATCAATGCAAATGGAATAAACAACAAAAAAAAAAGGGGGGAATACTTGTGTCTGTGTGATGGAGGGAGTCTGCAGCTAGATTTGAACCTGGGAGGGGTTAAAAAAAAAAAACAGTGGCGGAAGGAGGGTGAAGAATTAAAAGATATGATGAATAATAGTGTGTGAGAGCAGGACCAGCAGGTTGTTGTGTTTGGCCGGGGTGATCGGACTTGCCACACAAGCTCACAGCATTCACCAAATGTAGCAGAGAAAAGGGGGAAATGGTTATATTCCAAATATGGCTCTTCAAAAGCAAGTCAGAGACAAAATGCCAGGAAAAAGGAGTATGATTTGGAAGCAAAGCAGATCCTGTCTGTCTCTGTGTGTTTATCTCCGTCTTCTTGTCTCAAATTAAAGGGGAAAAAAAAACTAAAAAAAAAAAAAAAAAAAAAAAAAAAAAAACAACAAAAAAAAAAAACTACAAATGAGGGAGAAAAGCAGAGGCATGAGAACGAGATCCCTCTCTCTCCCTGCCGGACTGTCTCAGCTTCCAGCCACCTCTGAGCCGTGACGCCGTGACTCTGGTATCCCCTAGTTACTGCTATGAATTTTCCATTGTTATCAGCCGACTACACTGCTGTCACAAAGCTGGATGAATGGCACGCATGGCAATAGATGTAACTCTTTGTGGCTTTGCAAGGTATCTAGCAGAGAGCCATAATGTCCCGGTAATCGAAGTAGAATTGTTAAAAAGGCCGGACACAAAAAGCTGAAAATTTAGTGACAAGCATGAAAAGCGCTCATGCGATGAGAAACACAGGGCACCCCAGGGTCCTCCCAGGCCAAAACAGCAACCCTCAGCATTGTAACACTTCTGTTACTTAGCCTCAATATTTGCTTCACCATATCTGCCATCTTTGCTGCTTTTATGTGATAATTTACTAATTCAATTTACTCATTTATCTCACTCCATGGAAAAATGGCTGCTATGCCAAAAAGCTTTTCATGGGAAAATTTAACCACTGACATTGAATTTATTTATTTATTTATTTTAATATACTTCTGGTCATAGGCCTTATTTGAAATACAACGCTTTATTTTAATTCACTATAGCAGAATAAGCACAAGGGGATAATTCCTACATTCCACTCATTTATCTTTAATTTCTACATTTATTATTTTAGTAGCAGTAATATTAATAAAGAGTTTTTTTTATTTATTTAATGTGTTCCTGTGAATTTGTTAAAGCAAATTATCAAATTTCCAAAATGCATTTAATCCCATCAATCTGCTGCTGTCATCGCACTGCAGCTTTTTAACTCAGAATAAGGCCGGACATATTTCAGGATGTTTTCAAACTGTGACACAATTGAACAGTAAATTATGAATGCCTTTAAAACTGTGTGCGTGCATGTGTGTGTTTGCCTTTTGTTAGTGTGTGTGTGTGTGTGTGTGTGTGTGTATAAGTCATGCGTGCGCAAATTGCTGAACTGTGAATTATTTTTCTTTTCTAGCTAAATCCACGTCAACATGTTTAATGTTGCAAGTAAACAGAAGTCCTATGGAGTGAAAAAAAAATGCGCAGATTGTTTTTCATTGAAGCGTTAAACAGATGCCATGACTCATATGTTAAAACACATCAAATCCAATAAAATAAAACAACCTAAAAAATAAAATAAAATAAAAATTGCCTAAAATATATATTTTTAAAGCCAAAAAATTACTATAAAACTGTAACAACCAAATAAAAAAACAAATAAAAATCTAATACTGAAGGCAAATCGAGGCGTGTGATTTACAGAGTAAGTGAATAATGTCAGATCGGAAAGTGAATCTAACTGCGCTGTGGGCTCAGAGTTTATGAACAAAACTACTGAAATGATGTTTTCCATATTTTGAATGAATCTGATACATGAAGGGAAAGTCCATAAAAGAAATGTAACAACAGAGAGCGGAATAAAAAAAAAAAGTGGACGCCTTGTACATTCGCGGGCCTGCGTGGGATCATATTTTCTTTTGTTAGAAACGCTCTCCTACCGCAGACACAAAGGTGGAAATACCGTGGGCCACTGTGACAACGATAAAGCCAAGCAGATGACAAGAACGTATGAGCGCTGATGCGAGCGTCCTGCAGCCAGTGTGACCGTCTTTCACGTTCACAATTCAAATCTAGTTTTTTTTTTTTTTTTCCAAACAAGAAAAAAAAAAAAAAAAGGTCTGGTTCTTGTTCCTGTTGCTCTTTTAATTGATTTGAATAATTTTGCAGGAAACTTCATGTCAATATTAAACTACGGCTGAACGAGCAATGACAACAGGTTCATTTATATCATATCTCCATGCTGCTAGATATTTTTTTCCCCCTCTTAATTAAATTCAAATAAGACATCACACTAGCTGAAAGACTGTGAAGGAGACAAACACAAGGCCTTCAGGCCAGCCAAAGCCATCACTTCATGTCTTTTTTCTTTGTTTTTTTTTTGTTTGGTTTTTTTCAAATCACCACACACCAACCAAAGCAATGCGAAGAAATGCAAAAAAGGGGAAAAAAAAAAAAAAAAAAAGGGAGAAAAGCAGGAGATTCCCTCCCTGGTAGAGAGCTTACTGTTGGTAGTCGTGTTTGCAGTAAAGTTTCCTTTCTCTGAAGTAACAGCTGGTGGTGAGAGGCTGTTGACACACGGTGCACTGCAAACACTCCTCGTGCCATGAGGAATCGTTGACTCTCATCAAGAAGCGGTCGGAGATGGGACGCTGGCATCCTTCACACACGGATGGATGATGACACTCAGTCCCTGGAAAACGGAAGAGGAGTTTGGGGCCCGTCAAGAAACGAGAAGAGAAGGCCTGAATCAAGGACTGTATGGGTGTCTGATTAAAAACTCTAAAGCGTTACAGGCCTACACACCGTGAGCCTAAAGAAACCAACTCAACTGTTTGTTATTTAATCACATTTAAAAAACAGGTTTCAATGCGTGAATTGGATCATTTCCTTTCACTCATCCAGCCTTTAGATGTCTGGATCGTGCTGGATGCGTCTGCTTGTCACTACCATGAAAATAAAACCACATTTGTCATCACTGTCTCTGCTCTTCTATCCCTTTGCACGTTTTAATATGACCTTTTGCCGGTTTTGCATGATTGGATTTGAAAAACAACCCGAGGAAACAAAGCAGCAGTGGGCATGCATGCAAAAATTATGGCATCCAGACAGGAATAACAGTCGAGTGTTTGACCTGTGCTCGCAGATCAGATTGATACACAGATGTTTGTAAAGTTAAAAAAAAGAAAGAAAGAAAGAAAGAAAGAAAGAAAGAAAGAAAGAAGGATAAGCAGACTCACCTAGCATGACTCCGAGCGTGGCCTGTCCCGATCGCAGGGGGTGATCTTCAATTTTTATGCCGTCCAGCATGATGCAAGTCTCGGACTGTTCTCCCGCGGAGAGGCGCTCCAGTGACACCAGACCTGTTGCAATATCCATAAGAATACGGTCAGACTTGACAAGAAAATCCCCGGCACACAAAGCTGTCTGGAGGAAGAGCGAGGACGACCTGTTGAAACGCTTTGAGAGCTCCGTGTGACACACAGCCTGCAGCCCGGAGGAGGAAAAGAAGAGCCTAGAAAATCAACTGAACTAGATGGAATGCAAAAAAAAAAGAAAAAAGAGTCGACTTGATGCTCGCAATAGTTAAGAGGTAAAGGCAGTCTAAGCCGGCCACACAGATCCCCGGTATGTCGGAGCAGCGTGGGTGAAACAGAAAGCAAACAATTAGAGGTGGAAAACTGTCTTGAACAGTCACCTGTTATGATCAGAGGAGCGAGGAAGCTTTATCTTCTTCGTCCTCGAGCCGGTGGCAGAGAAAGCTGGGAAATGTCTTCACGGAATAACACTTCTCGTCAAGGAGGAGGATTAAAAAAAAAAAAAAAAAAAAAACAGAAGAAGAAAAAGTTGACAGCAAAATCCAAAGATAGGGGTATGTGTGTAGATGTCCCGGCAGTAACTCTTTGGAAGTAACAGAGACGGTTGGTTGGTTGTGCTCCTGTCGCTGCAAAAAGTCTGAGATCGAGATTGAGGCGAGTGGATCCTCCCACTCCTGCATGCATGGCTACGCTTTTTTCATTCCCCCATTCACCGCCATTGGGATGCTATTGGAGCAGAGTACAGTCCAATAACAACACACACATGGAGTCAACCGAGAAGAGCAGAAGGCTAGAAGGAGAAATATGATATTTTATAGAGGCCTGGCCTGCCACTAATAATAATAATAATAATAATAATAATAATAATAATAATAACAATAATAATAATAATAATAATAATAATGATAATGATAAAAATAATAATAATAATGTCGTTAAACTTTTAAGGCTTATTATATCGCACGCTTTGTGGTAAAATGGTGCATTCTGTGTTGATTATTTAGCTAAAACAACATACAACTATTAAAAACCAGAGGAATTAAATAAATAATTTAAAAAAAAAATCATTCTATAGGTTATTCATAATGGATTGCTGTATTTCCCTCAGTAAGATGAAATACAGATATCTCTGTGTGTCCTCTGGAGCATCACATGCTTTCCTCCCTGCTCTTTTGTGTATTGTTTCTGGTGGAAGCTGCTGATGCACCTGGCGATCAGTGGTGATAACAGCGGGCTGTCCAGCACTGAGGTGGCCACCAGTAGCTCAGTCTGTCCATCCTCCGCTCAGGGGACAATAGCTATAATAATAATAATGATAATAATAATAATAATGATAATAATAATAGTTATCATAATAATCATAATAACAATAATTGAAGATGACTCTACAAACTTGGCCTGTATTTATTCTGCAGGGCAACATCAGCTGTGGATTAGCTCTTATTATCGGCGGATCATCAACTGATCACTTTGCTCTTTCATCTGGGGAATGAGCCTTCGTGCAGAATAAAATAAATCCACACTGACTACTTAAAAACCACAGCATCACAAATACACACGATTTAAAAACAAAAAACATACAGCCGATGTGCAAGTTAATAAAACTCATGAGTGATCGGTTCATTTCTTTGTCAAGATGTGATCAAGACGTTTGGAAACGTGCAGAGGAATACTGTGCACTGAGGCCGGCCTGTGTGAAATTACAGGGCTGCTAATGGGATTGTGCGCCGCTTCCCATGTCACGCTGCATGAGAGGCTGATTGTTATCAACTTCTTAAAAAAAAAAAAAGCTACAGGCCCAGCTCCAGCCCCAGACAAGACAAAATAAGACGACTGGACACGTGGAGCAGAACTGAGATCCTGTATGTTTTAAGGAAACGTAAAGCAGTAGTGTTTTCTGTTGAGATTTGGGCGGAATCTGTGTGCATTTTAATTCCAAAATATAAAGGCAAAAAAAGAAAACAAAACAACATGCAGATAAAGATAAATAAAGATAACAAAGACATGCATGTAGCACCGAATCCGACACTGCATGGCTGACGATTTTATATAATAATAATTATATTATTATTATTATTATTGTTATTATTATTAATAATAATGATAATAATAATGATAATAATAATAATAATATCATGTTAAACAGAAACAAAAAAAGATCATAACTCTTATAAATGTTCTCGCAAAATAGTCAGAGAAAAGGAGAAAATAAAACCAAAAATTTACACCTAGCGTTTGAATTATGAATAATGTGAAATCTCTGTTCGCAGCTTCTACCTTGAGTCCAAAGTGGTCGCTGCGTGTTGTTTTTGATGTCCTTTGTGAAGCATCAAGGCGATGACCTGTAGCCCAGTTTGGAAAACAGAGGACAGATTGTTGGCGTTGCCCTCTGCCGGTCAGAGAGAGAACAGCTGCAGTTATCTGGAAGATCAGCACAGAGGATACTTCACTTACAGTCAGGTTTTTTTAGAGGCTTATAACGATCAGAATTGTTTCAAGTACATAGAAATACAATGCGAATATTCAAATGATTGTATTTTTCGTTAAAGGACAATTGCTTTGTTAATATGAGTGCATACCTGCCAGTCATGAAGTCATCCTGCCCCGGCTTAGCTTTTTTTTTCTTGTATCTCCAGCGCCTCTATCAGCATGGGGTCAATTACCTCCGCCTCGCACTAATATTGAATTATCTTACCACTAAGCAGCATTATGAGCTGAGCACTATCAATACAATATAATCAATACATTTTTTAAAAAACATATAAAGCCTGTCCACCGTCTCCCCTCCCCCTCCGCTCATTCAGCAGTTATTGGCCAGGTCACTTGTGTGAATGAGGACATCAAACATTCATTCAATAAATCAATCCGCCAACTTTTAGCCCGCGGTGTTTTTAATGAGCCTCCACATGACAAGCCCTCCCTCGCCCTCCACCAGGCAGGGGAAAACGTTGCAGCAGGTGTGCAGCACAGAAAGCAAAGTTAAACAATTGACTGTAAAGTAAGCAGAACTGTTGCATCCATCGGAAAGGTAAGAGACCATTATAATGCGCCATTACAGCAGCCATGCACATTCCTGCAGGCTGGTTCCCTGTGTGTCTGCTGTGATTTCGATTAGAGTTTTCACAGTGAATGTAATGACTCTGAATATTATAAGAAAAAGGAAATGATGTGAACTATAGAAAAAATGGTTTCAGAAAAAGCGAAATTATGATCCTACACTTTAAAGGTGGGGCAGGAGTAAAGATAAAAACTGCGAAAATCTGTGCACAGTTTTGTTGAACTAAGTTTGGAGCAAAAGTGCGGTAAGAAAACGAAGAAATCTAGTGGATTTCTTCTATTGGCAATTATCTTTTTAAAATGATGTTATTACCTCTATTTAAATGAGTGTGTCATTATGCATTTATGTTAAGTTCGAAAAAAATAACAAAAAATATGCCACAGAAGTAAACATAACTCATTCTAAATACAATAAATAAATTCAATTATTTAATGGCTTCGTTAAACTTAAATCTAATTTAAACAGATGTCTTAATTAAACTAAAATGTGGCTGTAAACATATCGACAATTTTTCTTAGTCTTAATTACACTTGCATCATACTCTGTATAAGCCACACTGGATCCATTCATTTACAACTCACAGCTCTGAGAGGCTACAATCAATGCATCGCAAAATACATCCCAGAAAACGTAAAATCATAACGTATTAAATTGAACACGTGGACTGTAATGAACGCTGTGACATAATCTTTTTCTTTTACAATATCGGCAGGAGCTTCTGAAATGTGAGCATTTTCAATTATGACTCAAACAAAGCGCAGCGATAAGCATTTTAAAATAAAATACCTTAGTGAAAATGAGGAGAACACTTCACATCCTCAAAGGAGAAACTCAGCAAACCAAACACATAATGGCTCCCTAAATTGCAGGGCCAGAGGACTTTAATAGTTAACTCACTTTGATCTTTTAATGAGTGTTTCTAAGCTCTCCATGATGCTTTTTTTTAAAAGCCCGAATGAAAAAAAAAAACATACAGGCACCCTTAATTTGTTTGCTGCCGAGTTGCACTTGGGCATCTTAAAAAACAGACCGGGACTGCGCGGCAGCGAATCATTTCTCATCCTAAAGACATTCAAAGAATTAGGGAGGAAATAGTGGTTTGATATTGTTCATCTTTTAGCCCGCACACGATTCTCTTCTGGACGTTTCTCTAAAGTCATCAGTGAGGCTGTGGAGGGGTTTCAGAGGGCAGAGAGCTCCTGTCGCCGCTGACAGTCGCGGATCAACAGTGAAGCCTATTGAAGGTTTGGACGTCGGAAATTTGCCACGAATCATCTGTAATTTGATCTGACTTCGCTGAGTCTAAATGTTTTCTACATTTTCTTCTCAGCTGCTTTCAAATCTTAAAAAATGAATATTGTTATACTGTGATTTCACACAGCAAGCAAACGGGAAGTGCACTGCTGTAATAACAAATAGGCTATGAGATTGCCGAAAGGGCCCCACAGGCCTATGGGCCCCTGAATACTCGTTTTGATTTAAACTTTTTATTTGGAGTCACAAATCGGCTCTATCTGATATTGTAATTTTGTTTTTGAAAATTCTTATAAGCATTATTTACATGGTATAATGTTATATGAGCTTATTTAAATTCACAGATAAACAGTGGAGCTATTTACGTCACATCCCCCTCTTCCCACTCACTCACATATTTCTGCTTTTATTCCTGCCTGAACCACATGGTCCTTCTTACCTTACTGAGACAGCCAAAAAATATGATACTGCAGGATAATCCCAACTCCCTAAGGATTAAGCCCAAGTATAATACAGCACTGTCAACCCACGGCTAGATTTGTTTATGGTATGATTTATTGGATTCAGCTTTTCTTTTTTTTTTTTTCACTGACAAATTTATTGAGTTCTTGACAGATGGCCTGACAGAGCTCTGTGTGACAGCGAGCTGACATACAAGTTTGAAATGTGAGTCTGAAAACTGTTTACCTGCATTTGTAGGCTCAAGTTTGTTAACACATGGAGCTGTAATTTAATTTACATAAGATCTAATAATATAGCCCCATTTCCAAGCGGTGATAGACCACATTACAGTAATGCATAGATACAATTATACAAATGCTTATACCTGTAGTGCTACTACTGATATAATCACTACTAATGTAATTTAAACTATATGACAGAACAATAATCTAAAGTTAAAAACCGTAATGAATGTAATTGTTTAAACAAAAGATAATACAGACAGATAGACAAATGACCAACAGATAGATAGATAGATAGATAGATAGATAGATAGATAGATAGATAGATAGATAGATAGATAGATGTCAATCTAAAAATCATCTTGAAATCACATTAAAATTATTTAATGACATAAAAAGTGAATATTGACTGTTTTGTTGCAAAAACAAGGAAATGTATGAATATTACCTTAATAGCACATTCACTGATAACAAACATTGCAGTTTAAAGTTCCATCTCCTGTTTGTTACCTGTCTACCTTTATTTTAGTGTTTATAATTAACAAAAAAATCCCCAAAATATGGGACTTTTATCATATAAAAATAAGAATCTAATAAAGTGCATTTAATCAAAATTTTGTGAAAAGTACAGTCAAAAGTAAAATATGTTTTTGATAAATGTGTTCAAATTTCTTGCCATTTTGTCATAAATCACCAGCACGTATCATCATTCTAAAGTTCATCATTCCTTTTTGTGAAGGACTAGCTCATCTAATGACGGTGATCCATATTGCAGTCAGATTTATGCAGCTGCTCTTCTGACTGGAGCACACACTACTTCACAGCTGTATGCTGATATTACCAGAACCACCTAAAACCCATCATCTGAATTACAGCAGCACCCCCTGCTGGACAGAACCAGGCAGTACAACTTAGTCTGCTCCACCACAGCAAAACTTCTATCAGCCCTTAAAAAAAACATTAACTGAAGAGCATGAGAATAAAATACTGAAAAAATAAGTTGATAAAACAGTATGATGTGCTGTATATTAATAAAATAAAATTAATTTGAATAAATTCTTTCAATTCACATAAATACAATGTTATTGTTTGTCAAACTTTCATTAAAGTACATAGTAGCCTACATGATTTGTCTTTAATACTTTAAATCATATGGTATTTTCAAAATTCTTCATCTTACACTTAATTGGCCTGTTTTTATTTCATTATGATTAACACGAAATGTCATATGAATTACTGCACTATCTTAAATTCTTCGTAAAACATTTATAAACAGGCAGTTATAGTTAAATTTTCCTGTTTAATCCTCCTGTAACTTTTTAATGAGACTTTTAACAGAACAATAATAGAAACCCCATGCCTAGTATTTCTACTATTGATGTGTATACACTGTTAATTTGCAAAAACTCTAAAAATGTGTCATCCTATAGTTAAAAAAAAATATTCGTATTAAAAAAACAAATCCTGTCAAATCTATTAGGAATGTAAGGATTTTTTTTCTCTAACTAAATGGCAATGTTCTGACAGTGAGATGGCAGAAGATGTTCCTTTACCACAGAGTGTGATATTATGTATATTACTTGTATTATCTATATGTTCTTCATTGTAACATTTGCATTTTGACTTGCATTTAGTCAGTTTTGTCTTTTTTCATTTGTTCTTGTGGTTTTTGTTATTTGTCAACTATTCCACTAAGCCCTGACTTTTCTGTTCTATAATAATAATAATAATAAAAATTACATTACTACATTATATTACAACCAAAGAGCAACTATACAGGAAAAATGTGCACAATTGTGTATTTGTTTGTAGATTAAAAGTTGACTTTATGCACATTCAGTCTCATTTTGTGGCAATAAGTTAAAAAGACTTTTTACACTTGGTTCAATGTTATGAAATGTTAATTGTTAAAGCAGCAGAGAGAATTACATACAGTAAAAACACAAATTATTATTGGATATACAAATGAAAACAATATATATTTTTCATTCATTCCTGTTTTATGCCAAAAATGCACTGCACAAATTATGTCTTTTAAAATAGCATTATTATTTTTGTCATATTATTGTAGAGTCAGTTTGTGTTTTTTTACTATTTCCATTTCTTCGGACAAATAAGAAAAATAACATGTGTTTCCTCTCTTTATAATGTACTTGTTAGTATATTTCATTAAAGCCTTTTGTGGTAAAATCACAAAAACTAAAATGTAAATTGAATGAGGTCTCTACTGCAATGTGTCATACAAACATAATGACAATAATAAAAAATAAAAAAAAATCAAATGTTTTGTGAAAGCCTAATGATTAGTTTTCTTTTTCCAAAGGATTATCTTCAAAACATTT